AGGGTGAGAAGGGCAAAGGAAAGGGCAAAGGAAAACAACAGAAGGGCAAGGCAGCTGGGCATTGCGAGACACACACCCCGGAAGGTGATCCAATTTGCTTCCGGTTCAACACACCGGGAGAGAAATGCAAAGTCAAGAAATGCAAATACCGCCATTGCTGCGGGATTTGCCATTCAGAGAAACATGCAATGTTCCAGTGCAATCCGAAGAACCGTCAAAACCCTCCAGCACCGGACACGTCAGGGTCGAAGTGAGGTGTGCTGACAGTTCTTATATGTTTTCTGCGGACGCAGGAGGCACAATTCAGTGGCTGGTTTTCTCAAGAAACTAGCGAGCGCAAGCAATATTCGGCTTGAGATCACAGAATTGGACATACAGCGTGACCGCAGGCTGGATTTGACAATTCCTTCAATTCAGAAAAAGTGGCTGCAGGCGATTGCTGAAGACAAGTTCTTTGCAGTCATAGTTACACCACCTTGTTCCACATTCTCACGGGCTGTGTGGGCGAATGACAAGGGTCCTTTTCCTTTGGGAAGCTTTGCATACCCCCGAGGATTCAAGTGGAGTGGGGGACCACGGTTTCACAAGGCTGAGTTCGGGACGATCTTGGCTGATTTTTCGTTTGAGGCCATGCGGCGGCAATTCAGGTCAAGACGCAGGATTGGCCTGATGGAGCAACCGGAAGACCTTGGGAGGACGACGTATGAACGGCTGCCAGGACATAGACCTGCGTCCATGTGGCAGTTCCCTCAGGTTGAAGAGCTGCTGAAGATGCAGGCGGTTCAGACAGTCGTATTCGCACAAAGCCATTTTTGGGACTGCAACACCCAAACCTACACGGTTGCTACTTCGTTTGCATGCTCCCCTACACGAGTGCATGTACGAGGGCCCTCCACGTTCGACAAAGAAGGATGGTACTTGGGACCATTGCCCAAGCAACCAACCACAGAGGGCTTCATCGGCAAGGTTGGGAGCCATTTCAAGACTGCCAGCTCAGCCGCTTGGCCGCCAGAGCTTTGCAAGTGGGCAGCAACAGTGATTCTCTCCTCCTTCAAAGAAGAGTGTAAAAGGAAGAATGAGAGAAAAGAGGATGAAGACGATGAGGAGCTTCCACCTTTGAAGAGGAGGCGGACAGATGTTGAAGAAAAAGGAGTGATAGACCCCATGGATCCACCCGTTGGAAGCCCCTTTTCACGATGGAGGAGGTTTGGCATCTCCAGGGCGTTGGAGGTCGGAGGCAAGGAGGGTTCCACGAGGAGAAGAATGGGCATGGCTTGGAAAGTTGATCCTCTTGGAGACTGTGAAGGTGATGGGAAGTGTCACGGAGGCGGACAAAGAAGAATTCAGGATGGCCAGAGGAGCTGAGGCTTTAGACTGGTCAAGGATTTGAAGTCCATCAGGGCACTGGTTGCAGGAAAACTGGGGTTTGCAGAGCGGCTGGATCCAGAGGAGGGCCAGCCCTTCTTCTTAGACCTCATGAAGAAGACCTTGGAAGCAGCAGGTGACCCCGACTTTGAGTTTTTGGAGAGGGCCAAGACCGGTTTTCCACTGGGTGTCTTGGAACAACTCCCAATGACGCCCATGATCTTCGAGGAGCAGACGAAGTGGGCGTTGGAAGGCGAGCTCTGGGAAGAGGCAGTTTGGCAAAAGGACAACTACACGTTCGCGAAAGGCCCGCAGGCGATTCAAGTATCAGGTGTCGGAATGGGGTACTTGGCCTGTAAAGCCACGAGTGATGCGGAGACTGTCTACTAAGGTTGGCACATTTGGAGTGGCTTCGACCCCCTACTGGTGGGCCAAACAGCGAGGTGGTTTAGTCACTGAGTGGGTTGGCAGAACTACAGACTATTCGATCTATGCCATGGGCCTTTCGGAGAGGAGAGCAACATGGGTGGTAGAGTGGATAGGTTCTCTTTTGCAGAGGAAGCAAGTCAGCTACAGGGAGTTTGCGACAGGCCTAGGCAGGCTGGGGTTTCTGCCCTGGGAGAGATGACCTTGCCCTGGGCTGTGCTCTTTCTACTTTCGTGGGTCCGACAAAGGATGCTCCATGGAGACAGGCTGGAGAAGGTCAAGCGGCCGAGGAAGAGTGTCAGTCAAGTGAGTCAAGTCCGGATTTGGACTGATGCGAAAGCAACAGAAGACCGGGCATGGATTGGCGGCTGGTTAGAGGAGGCACAGGACACCAAGGCTTGCAGGTGGTATGCTTTGGAAGTCACTGAAGTGAGCGCTCCATGGTTGCTAGTGAAGGGCAGAGACCCGAAGCGTGTGATAGCAGTATTGGAGTTGATGGCCACAATAGTAGCAATGAAGCTCTGGATTAAGGGCACAGAGGAGAGGGCCGAGATCATGACAGAGGCCTTCACTGACAACAGAGCAAACTCCTTCATTGTGAAGAAGGGCCTATCGACGAAGTACCCCATCACCTCGCTGGTGATAGAATTAGCTGAAACGCTGAGGAACAGGGATGCCTATGCGAACCTTACCTGGGTTCCCCAGGAGGAGAATACATTGGCAGATGCTTTGACGAATCCCGATTTCAGTGCATTTGACATGGGCGTGAGAGAGGAGCTAGATGAGAGTGGCATTGAGTGGCTGGTCATGGGAGAACCCATTGAAAGCAGCAAAGCACTGTTTGAAGAGATCAAAGCACACAAGCAATTGAAGAAAGAAAGTCACAAGAACAAGACGAAGAAGTCGCATAAGTTCTTCGGACGGTGGACCTCCTGACAGGAACTGGAGGTACCCCACTCCTGGGCGCCCCTGGGAGTGGGGCGGCAGGGAGGTCATTCGCTTGACGGAAAAAGAACCGCTTGTTGCTTTGTTTCGGTCGGAAGGTCTAACATGTTAACCTATCGAAAATTTTCATGACGTGTCATGACTGGTTTTGGTATCGTTAACATGTTGGCTCAAGTGATCTTTGGTTGGTGACCCCTTTTTGTGTCCCAACCCCCC